GCTGTACGATTTCATTATGAGAATTCCTTAAGATATTTAAAATATATGCTAATTACATATTTTACAATTTAATCCTGGATATGACGATAAGCTACATCCAACAGCAAGGTCTCTGATCGGGAGATTGCAGTTTTTGAGGAGCGTGGAGCCACCTCTTAATTGCTGTTGTTCCCAGGTCCACCTGTTAGGGTCTCTCACCTATGGTCAAATAGTGAACCCCAAAAAATAAAGAACTATGAAAGTATAAAAATACTTTTTGTAGTAAAAATATCAATAATATATTTTTATATAAATAAAATACCAACAATACATATTTATAGTAAAATTACCAACAATAAAATTTTAAAGCAAAATGACCAGCAATACATTTTATAGGAGAGTTACTAACAATACATTTTATAGCAAAATGACCAACAATACATTTTATAGCAATAAATGACCAACAATAAATTTTATCTGTAGTTGAAGGGATACAACCGCGTTCAAGATATATTTAGTTGAAGGCATAAAATTGCGTTCAAAATGCCGCTAAACAAAATCAACCAATCAACCAATATTTTATAAGTAAATTAACGTACGAACTTACAGTAAAGTTTATATTCATCAGTCTTAGAGGATGTTAAGTCGTGTATCAGCATTCAAAATTCTGAGTGTTTGTTTCCATGATCTGGAATATTTGAACTGGCGTCAATTAGGAAATATGCACCCGCCTTGCTGTGCTGATTGTTAATCATTCAAGAAGCTTTTAAATGTTAGCAACGAACTACAATTTTTATTTGTTATGATAATTCACGACAATTTCTTAGACGATTATCCAGTCTTTAAATGAGTTGCATTTTCAGTTTGGTATTTTCAGTTTGGTATTTTCAGTTTGGTATTTTCAGTTTTTACGCTGTCAAATGTATCCGACATAAGGCCTGTTCCAAAGCTTTATTGTTTGTAGTAAGGATTCTTCGGTTGTACAATTTAGTGTTACTAAATATAGTGTGTTCGGAAAGTGACTGAGAACTTTTCTAATCATATTTTTTATATTTCAGATTTCACCCCAATATGGTTTTAACTGTAGTTGTTGGTTATCCGTCGCCACTTTAAAATTAATTTTCCAACTTTCACAAATACAGATGTGTAAAAGAAAACTACACTATCCCAAAGATTCATTTAGCAGTCTGGAAAAAAAAAGAAAAAAACAATTAATTAAAAATCAATGAAAAAATATTTTAAATACCATATTTAACTTTATAAATGATCACCAATGCGTAAATTAAAAAGTGGCAACGGATAACCGAGAAGAAACGCATTTGAAACGGGAGAATGTGTATTTCTCATCAAAGACATATTTCGAGAAGGTGGTAATAATGTTTGTTAATAAAAAATATAAGTGCATAGTGTCTTTCCGAAAACCCTGTACTAAGCTCATTCAAAAACTAATCCAGTAAAAGCGAATGAAAATACGAGGGATCGGTAGTTGCCTATGCAACACGTCTCCTCTCTCCACGCCATTAGAGTTTTCCAAGAGAAAGGCAGAGGCCACTACAGGTTGGCACCGTCGTCGTCGCAGGAGTTACCAGAACGAAGCTGAACATAACATCGGACTCTCTTAGGAAATCCGGCTACGGATTTGTCTTCAGGGTATAAATCTGGAACTGGTGTTTCTAAGACAGTGGTCCGATTTTATTTTTACCTTTATGACAGCGCATAAAAAACAAACAAATATACCTTTGATCATATGTGCAGTTTGATATAAAATCATTCTCTCTTCTCGCTGTCGGGTACATATGACATGTCCGGAATATCTACAGTCGTACCCACTACCTTGTTTTGATTTTTCTTCCTGAAGTGAACACCCATGTTGTGGTTTATTTAGAAATTTTTCACGTTTAAGGCGATCACATGACTGAATAGGATTCGAAATATAGGCTTTGCTTTGCTTTGTTATACGGCATGTCAAGCTCAATAGACTATTTAATGCCGACAAAATTTTTATTGCTGGTAATATTTTTTTCCAAAAATGTATTGCTGGTACTAAAACCTATTTTTACACTTTACGGTGTTTTGACTCCAGGTTGGGGGGTTAACTATTTGCCCATAGCTGGGACCCTAACAGGTGCTGCCACTCAGGGTCTGGGAACATCAGCAATTAAGAGGTGGTTCCACGCTCCTCAAAATCTCATGAACAGAGTTTTTGCTGTCGGATGTAGTTTATCGTCTTACCCAGGACAGCGAAATATAGGGTGCGGCAGAATTTTATGGGAGATATTTCTGGGAGGTATATATCGAAGGTATTTCTAACGCTCCCCGTATTTCAAAGAAAATCCATAAAACTGAAGATAATAAGTAGAAGAATAGAATGAAAAATGAGATAACCTTTTATTTTCATATTGAATGTCAAGTTGATTTCAGAAAAGCTTCCTGGTTTTATGGCCCGGGTAAGTAACTATAGCAATATTAACGAGTCATTTAATCACTATTGCGAGTGTACATACAGAAGAGTTGTCCTATATATATATATATATATATATATATAAACTTTTAGGTAGTTTTAATTATTTTTATTTTGTTTTTCTTTAAATCTCCTGAGTACATCACAACAAATCTTTTTTTTATTTTTTTAACTAATGAATTCTATTGTTAAGCACACACATTATTCAAAAGTCCATTTAAAGAGCTCCAAATAAGAATTCTTTCTAATATTTCAATACTATGACCCTCACCATAAGAAAAAGGAAAGATGGTCATAAGTTTATATGCATGACTAATTCCCTTTGATTTACTAAATGAAGAAAATATTTTTTTGTCAATTTACCAATAACTATATGATTATAGAGAACAGCATTTATAGTAGTAAAATTAGGATATAATCCCTTAAAAATAACTGTTTATTTCAGATATTTTGTCTTTATTATCCCTTCCAGATATGAAATACTTGCAACTGTTGCATTTCATTTTCTTAAAAGCTGTATAACAACAATAAACTGCTACGTATAACAGGAACAACTTTCTTTACATTCCTTAACATCGAAATTTTACTATCCTGCCTCTTCATCTCAGTTAGTTTATAAATTCTTCAAATCAATATAATCAAGTTGCAGGCTCAACTTTAAAACTGACATCATTTTGATTTTTTTTTCTCACTCAAACACTTGACGTATAGAGATATTTTATTGACCGTAAACAAATTCCCGGTACTGGCCAAATCTATCCTCAAGGTGATCTATTTGAAATTTACCTGCTAATAAATACATCATTTTCAATTCTTCTGTGCAATATTTGGTCAGTTCTAGAATTCCAAGATTACAGAACACATTGAGAAATATATAATTATCATCATTTATTTCAAGTGGATTTGCCTATTTATTGTTAAGCTACCAACCTTTATATGGTGTTTTTACATTCAGTATTGTCCAACAAATATAAAATATGTTTATGCATTCTGCAACTTCTGCAAAGTTAGGCAAACATTTTTGTTTCCCTAAGGTCAGCAATCTCTGAATAGTGAATTGGTTAAGAATTTGCAAAACTAATGAAACATTTTGCCTTTCAAAGCTAGTGGGAGAAAAAGCCTTTGAGGTCAATTTATGGCAATATTTCAAAACTGACTGAGATTCCAGGACATGAAGCTTCCGTAAAGTACAAAATAGGGCACTTTGCATATTATCGAAATTTCCATTATGACAACATTTTGTGAACATCACACATTTACTTGCATCTTTTTGACAAAACTAGTTGTGTCTAATGCATTTAATATTAACTATGTCAAATAAATTCTCAGCTTCAAGACATTTAGTTGACATATGCGCGTAATCCTTGTATCATGAGAATGCACTGCTCAGCATAAAAATGAAAGCACTTTAGGTGAATTTCATCTACAACTAAAGATACAGTAATGTCTTTTTCCTTTAGTAACTTAAACTTATTTTTAATATACATAAGAAAATTGTTATCGTGTTCCTCAACTATAGGAGGATTTATATAGGTTGATTAACCTTATTGTTATAGACAAACGTATGGTTGCAAGAAGGAAATACGACAACAGCAGAAATAGATTTACGTGATTTATTTCAATAGGAACGTGTGGGTTTGGGACAGCTACCTTGTGGTAAAGTTCATAAGCCAGCTTCGGATCAAGGCTAATCTCTCATAGTAGTTCACACCTGTTGACGGTGGTTGACGCTCCCCTACTGTCAGCAGCTAAACGTGACAGGTCTCTACCCTGGGCACCTGTAGACTGACTTTGAACTTCCGTGTGACCCCTTTTATAGTGTTTTTTTATGGCTTAACAGGCTCGAAAAACGAAGCGAGTATAATTAGGAGGGAAGCATTTTTATTGTACGAAAAATAGAGCATTTTAATATTATTTTATTTTTCGACCGGAACACGTGTGTTGGAAACATTTGTAAAGAAAGATAATGATCATTTTGTGACGGGGCTTTGTCCCATTTACATCCGGTTCTCGCTCTTGAGTATTGCCTGTAAATCAGCCGAGATATGTCTTATTTTATTTTATAACAATATTAACCTTTTGAACCTATTTTAGTAACAATAAATACATTTAATGTATCATTTATCTAAAATTTTATTGAAACCCATAAAATTTTCATGCGGCGACATAAACTAATCAGGAAATTGGTCACGTTTTAAATCGTATGCTGATTTAATATTAAAGCTTGACTGCGTGAGTAGAAATTTAATATTTAACAGTAACACTATAACACGGTGTCTCGAGAGATCCAAAGGTTGACAGCGAACGTTCATAGTTGTGGGCAAATTAGTTTTACATAATGGAAGCTACTTCAGAAGCTAAGCCAGTAAAAGTGGATGAAAATAATCGAAACTCGTCGAAAAAGCCGTGGCTGGTGTATATTTTGACTTTCTTTGCTCAATTATCGTTAGTCAATCAGGGTTATGACATGGGCTCTTCATCAGGGGCCATACTTCTCGCCCAAGACATCGGTTATCTTCATCTGACTCGAGTATGGAAACAACTGATCACAGCCGGACCGATGCCAAGTGCTGCTATCGGTAGTTTAATCGGAGCTTATCTGAGCGACAGTTTCGGACGAAGAAAATGTTTAATGTTCGCGTGTTTCTGTTATATGCTTGGATCTGTCGTCTCTGGATCGGCTTACAACAGAGAGACTTTGCTTACTGGACGATTAATGACTGGATGTGGAATCGGTAAGTACAAATTAAAACTATTTGTTTTAATTTTTTTAATATCCCACAAAAAAAGAGACTAAAATCGGGAATTTATTTATAAAAGAAAGTGGGAATTGTTTGAACTTATATTAAGCGTAATATAAATTATAAATAATAAAAAGAGAAGTCAACAGTTTGTTTATTTTTTTTCTTGTATTTTTACGTGCCATCATATTGCTCTCTCTTTCGTTCTTTCTCATTTCCACTATCTCTCTCTATTTTTTGTCTCCCTCCCTACTTGTCTCTTCATCTTTTCCTTTTTAATTTTCTTGATATTTTCCTCTATTCCTTGCTCTATTTCTTTATTATGCATTGTTTGGTCCTTTCTTGTTTTTTTTGTTTTTTTCGTCTTGTAAACCAAATACTTCCTTTAGCTCGTCAAATTCTCACTGATTGCACCACGGCTATGAATTTGTACTAAACTAGGCTAACTTTAGGAAATAAGTTTGTTTTTCTTTACTGATAGTCACCTATCGAAATTATTTTCGCGTTTTGCTTTCATACTTTTAGAAAGCCAAGTACAGACTTATAAACACGTGTCACAAATTTCGTTCAGATCTATTCAGACATATATATATTGTCTATTACTCATCGATTTAATATTAAAATAAACATCTTGTATTGATTAAGTCATGTAACAAGAACTTACCAATTCGTCTACCGAAGCTCTTCTATGTATTTATTATTTAAACTTTGCTTACTTTGGTACCAAGACACAAACTTGGGGCACCTGTTATTAATGGTCTGCGAGATTAGTTTGTTACGCCTTAATCCATGGTGAAGTCTGCATGAATCCGTTCTGACAAAGCCGACTTCTTTATCCCAGATTGTTCTGACATATTCCTTTTTTTTTTTAACTTTATGAAGCGCTATATGGACTCATCGTGAGTTTCTATCTAAGATGACATCTTTTCACTCTTATTCTCCATAATGTTTCTAATCGATCTAGTTTCGTTCTTTCTTTCTCTCTTTTGTTGCTTTTTCAAAATCTTTCTTTATTTCTATATCAATTTTCTCTGATTCAGCTTAAATCCCTCTCTTTATTTCTGCTTCATTTATCACCCTTTTCTCTCGCCACCCCCCTCAGTCTTACATACACATTGTGCATGTCTCATATGTTATAGACAATCAACAAAATGATTGCATACTTTTTTAAAACAAAAGTAAAAAAAAAAAAAAAACACTTTCTTCGTTTTTAAAAAAATTACCAGAAAGGACGGATTAAAATAGAATTTGTATTATTTATTCAATGATGAATTATTTTAAAATGAGTTGGTACTTATTTTAGAAAAAATCGTGGGAATACTTTTTTGATCAGTTTCACCCGCTTCGATAAACACATTTAAATTTGGAGGTCGAGAGCGATTTTTTTTTTTTTTTTTTACAGTTATATAAAGAAAAATCTCTGGTAAATGTTTTTTGAGATTAAATTTTTCACTTTTATTCTCTTATTATTTTTTTCCTCTCTCTCTCTCTCTCTCTCTCACTTACCCCAAACCTCTTTACTGGGATAGGCAAACTCGTTCAAGGGGTCATTAGCAGCTGTCTTGGGGCCTCATTCATTTTTAGGAACATTTATTTTTTATCTACATTCGTTGTCAATCATCAATTATATAATAATATAAAATCAGCATTACATGATGAAAAATTAACCCAAACTTAATGAATTGAAAAGCAAATTTAAGAGAAAAGATCAAAAGATTTTTTGATTTCCTTAGGGTCTCTTCATATAAAATTGGTTCTTATGGGATATTGGGAACCCCTAATTATGCAATATAGGTACCTATACGAAATCGCTAAAAGATCAGTATACCGTGATGAAAACATGCTCCAGGCATAATGAAAACTAAAACATGATTTTATCGTCAAAATTTTTATTTTATTATTAAGAGGAAGGATCAAATCATTTTTTGAGTATTTAATTAATGTTTCCTTCCTTTTTAGAACATTCGAAATTTTGATTAAAAAACTTGTTGTTCTTCCCTCAGCGGTTGTACTAAATTTTACTTTTAGCATAGCAAATTTTGGCTACTTTTTTGTGGTGACAGGCATTAATTTGGAAATTCTTACAAAAATCAAATTATTGTCGGATTTTAATTAAATTTTCAGGACTTATTCAAAATGAATGGAATTATTTTTTTATTAGAAAATCTTGGTAAAACTTTTTTTTTTACATGTGTCGTAGCTAGGCGGGTGCGGTTCGCCCCGGGCGGCACTTTTAGTCCGCGGTGAATTTTCAGAAAAAAAAACGAAAAAACAATAGCATAATTTCATTAATATTTGCAAAAAAAAAAAAAAAAAGCAGCAAAAAGATAGGGGGTTCAAATGAAGCCAATTTGTCTTTGATATGGATGTCTCAAAGCCAGCAATAAAAAAAAAATTGTCGCCAAAACGCGCTGTCAGCTGATGGGGACAAACCCCACATGAGCAAAAGGTGTGAAAAAAATTTCAACATTTAAGGCTTCAGATGGGGTTGGATTATTAAGTGAATTTAGTGAATCCACATTTTTTTTTTCACACTATGTGAGAAGTCCAGATTTTGGCATCAGTTTTTTAATTTTTCATGTCTGTGAACTTTTAGTGAAAAATTTAAATAAGTGAACCAATTGTTTTGTTTTTATCTTTTCATAGGATTAGCATTTTAATACGGATATAAAATCGTTACTTAAAATAGATAAATAAATTAAAATAATTCCAATGATTTAAGCATATCGCATGCATTCCATTTTCTTCCGGAAGTATCAGACGGAAATTTAAACGAAATTGAAAATTAATTTTTTTTTAAACTTTATTTACAGTCCAAAAATGAGCATTTTTCAATTTTTTTAATTTACAAGTTTTAACTGCAGTAAAACATTACAATGTTTTACTTTTTTGTTTAGCTAGTTGAAATTTTATTAAGCAAAATAGACTAAGAATTATGATAATTTCAGTTTTTAAAAGTGAAATTAATTTTATCGGACTTTTAATTCTTAGTTTACTACTTTGCTAATAATAATTTCAACTACGTAAAAAAATAACTTAAAAAGAGAAAAGACATTGCATTTTTTTTTTTTTACATGAAAAGAAAAACAAACCAAAGGCATTTAATTAATTTATGACTCCTCGCTTGTTAGAATTGAAATAAATATTTAAAACTGATAAATTATGAACTGAAAGTATGTTTTTTGCTTTTATTTTGAATAAAATAGAGGGTGTATAAACAAAACAAAAAAAAAACAAATAAGTTATCTATCTTTTAATGTCGTGGTAAAAAGTTTCTAAAGTTTTCCCGATTTAGAAATAAAAAAGTAACGTCCTCATTTTTTTTACATATCCCCAGTTTTATTTTTAAAAAAATAAATAAATAAACACAGTTGTACTTTTATTTCATAATTTATCAGTGAGGAGTTACCACGTTAACAGAAACAATGAAAAAAAAAACTTGGCATCATACGGGCATTAGATTCTGAGAAATTGATGGGTATATATACGAATAGTTTCGTCGTTAACTCTCTCTCTCTCTCTCTCTCTCGTTCTCTCTCTCTCTCTCTCTCTATATATATATATATATATATATACTTTAAGCCTTAAAGTTTAAGGGGTTACTGTGCATTGTAATATTGTGTATTCTGTATTCTTGAGGGCTTCCTCGTTTGGCAAAAACACTACGCCACTGTTTCACCACTTTACTTAATTTTATGAAAACTTGAGAAATTCAACGGAATAATTTTTAGTGACTATATTAATTCAAAGCAGAATTCTTTGAAGAATTTAAATTACCGAATTTTTTTTATTTATTTATTTATTTTTTTTTTTCAAATTGAGTCCCATCTTACTGAAAATCTGTTCTGAATTGAAAAAAAAAACGCAATAAAACTAAGGCATTATTTAATTAGGGAAGCTCTTAATTACTTTTATGAATATTAAAGACAATATTGTCTGAAGGAAAAAATTCTAACGAAAATGAATTTTTACAGGATTTGTTTTCATTTTTTTATAATTTTAAATTGATTAATTTATTAAGTTTTTAAATCTTTTAAAATTCAGTTTCGATGGGGTAACGCTTAGGAAATATTGTTAAGTAAAACTGTATTTACTAATTGTCAAGATTATTACAATCTGACGACCACGAATATTTTACAAGGATTTCGATTTGTTTTTTTTATGTGTATATAATTGCAGAATTTTTAAGTATGGTTGTTCAAACCTAACATTATCATTAAAAGTTCATGTATTTTAATGGTTACGGAAAAAAAACTCATCATCTACTCCACCACGTTCGGCGGTTATTTGACTCTATAGTGGGTCAGCCAATTTGTATTGGTTATAAATAGAAATAAAAACCGACCCTCTACAATTTTTACAATATCAAATGTAACAAAGACAACAACGAGAGAAATAATCAAGTAGAAGGTAAAGAAAGCAAACAAAACAAGACCGATAATATATGTATATACAAATATATATTAATAACAAGTTACAATACATGGAAACAGTACAAAGGACGAAGTGTGTGTGAATATTCTGTATGTGCGTGCGTGTGTGAATATTCTGTATGTGCGTGCGTGAATATTCTGCTTAGCGTGTTTCCACGCTATCCCTTGTTAGCGACTACATTTAGGGGGTTGATAGCTGAAAATTCTCTAGGAATAAGAGAGTTTACCTCAAGGTGTCAGTGCACAGGCCTGAAAAGGAAAAAGAGATAGAGGCGAAGGGTCATTGGCTATTTATAGCCAGGAAAGAGAGACCCCTGGTGAAAGGGTTAACGGAGTGAAAGGAGGAGTTAACTCCGACAACTCTCAATAAATCGATTTACACCACAGAGTATTTTGCTTATTGGAAATAGTAAATTTTAAATCCTTTAGCTTTCAGTTAAAGGAAAGCTAAAATGAAAGCTTCAAGAAAACTTTTTCATTTTTAAAAATTCATTAAATCTTACATATACCGAATTAATAGAGGTACCTGATGAAATATTTCGAATGCGTAACGGTAGCAGG